ATGAATGATAAGAAAATGATAAGAAAAAAAGTTTTAGTGGTTTGGGTTGAAGATCAAACCAGCCACAACATTCCTTTAAGCCAAAGCCTAATCTAAGGCAAGGCCCTAACTCTCTTCAATTCTCTGAAGGCTGACAGAGGTGAGGAAGCTGCAGAAGAAAAGTTTGAAGCTAGCAAAGGTTTAAGGAAAGAAGTACCTCCATTATATAAAAGTGCAAGGTGAAGCAGTAAGTGCTGATGTAGAAGCTGTAGCAAGTTATCCAGAAGATCTAGCTAAGATCATTGATGAAGGTGACTACACTGAACAACAGATTTTCAATGTAGATGAAACAGCCTTATATTGGAAGATGCCATCTAGGACTTTCATAGCTAGAGAGAAATCAATGTTTAGCTTCAAAGCTTCAAAGGACAGGTTGACTCTCTTGTTAGGGGTTAATGCAGCTGATGACTTTAAGGTGAAGCCAAGGCTCATTTACCATTCCAAAAATCCTAGGGCCCTTAAGAATTATGCTAAATCTGCTCAGCCTGGGCTCTATAAATGGAACAACAAAGCCTGGATGACAGCATAGCTGTTTATAGCATGATTTACTGAATATTTTAAGCCCATTGTTGAGAACTACTGCTAAGAAAAAAAGATTTCTTTCAAGATATTACTATTCATTGACCATGTACCCAAGAACTCTGATGGAGATGTACAAGGAAATTAATATTGTTTTCATGCCTGCTAACACAACATCCATTCTACAGCCCAGGGATGAAGAAATAATTTTGACTTTCAAGTCTTATTATTTAAGGTGTACATTTTGTAAGGCTATAGCCACCTTATGTAGTGATTCCTCTGATGGATCTGGACATAATAAACTGAAAACCTTCTGGAACTGATTCACCATTGTAGATACCACTAAGAACATTAGTGACCCATGGGAGGAGGTCAAAATACCAAAATTAATTGGAGTTTGGAAGAAGTTGATTCCAACTCTCATAGATGACTTTGAAGGATACAAGACTTCAGTGGAGGAAGTAACTATAGATGTGATGAAACAGCAAGAGAACCAGAATTAGAAGTGGAGCCTGAAGATGTGACTGAATTGTTGCAATCTCACAATAAATTTTGAATGAATGATGAGTTGCTTCTTACTGATGAGCAAAGAGAATGGTTTCTTGAGATAGAATCTACTCATGGTGAAGATGCTGTGAACATTGTTGAAATGAAAACAAAGGATTTAGAATATTACATACATGTAGTTGATAAAACAGTGGCAGAGTCTGAGAGGACCTACTCCAATTTTCAAAGAAGTTGTAGTGTAGGTAAGATGCTACCAAGCAGCATCACATGGTACAGAGAAATCTTTCACGAAAGGAAGAGTCAAACTTCATCATCCTTTTATTTTTAGAAATTGCTATAGCTACCCCAGCCTTCAGCAACCATTCCACTAATCAGTCAGCAACGATCGACACTGAGGCAAGACCCTCTACCACCAAAAAGATTATGACTAGCTGAAGGATCAGATGATTGTTAGTATTTTTTAGCCAAATTTTAAAATTAAACTATGTACTTTTTTAAAACATAATACTATCGCTCACTTAATAGACTACAGTATAGTGTAAACATACCTTTTACATGCACTGGGAAAGCAAACAATATGTGTGACTTGTTTTATTATTTGCTTTATTGTGGTGGTATGGAACAAAACCCAAAATACGTTTGAGGTGTGCCAGTACGCTACCCACCCGTCAGTCACTTGCTGGCCATCTTGGTTATAAGATCAAAAAATAGTATATAGGGTTCAGTATTATCTGTTGTTTCAGGCATCCACTAGGGGTCTTGCAATGTTTCCCCCGCAGACAAGGGGGGTAGGCTGCTATAATCTATTAAAGATTCTGAGAAGTTGGATCCCGATGATTGAGCTCACCCTTGACAAAATTATGAGAGAGTGCGGTGAAGTTGTTTCCTATGAGGATATTTTAGAAAGTTCTAGATCCATTACATTTTCTCAGCAAAATAAGAGGTAGACCATTAGTTAAAAACCCAAATACTTAAAATTGCCCAGGTGGGTAACTTGAAGGAGGCCAAGACCCCATTCCCAGTCAAAAGGAGTCAACATGGCTTCGGCCAGTTGTTGGTATGTGGGAACATGGTGTGAAAGTGAAGCTGGAAATCCATATTATTAAATGTGAAATTTCCTGGTTTTATAATAGTGGCCATTTATTCAAAAAGTTTTAAATATTCTGTGTATGCTAAAGCTCATTAGCTATCAGCTTATGACCCTAGGAATAAATAAACATGAAGGACCCTTCCCATACTTGCTCTTTAACTCAGTGGTCCTAAACCAGTAAAAACAATAAATAAGTAAAATAAAATAATCAATAAAATTTGCATGGCTATTTTCAGTTCCCTTCATATTAATTTGGCATAGAGAAGTATATTTTAAAGAATTATTCACCCAGTTCATTCAATATTTATCCAAGCCAGTTGTGTTCTCTCTATACCACTCTTGTACCACCAGCCCAGAGAACCCCAAGGCTTTAAGAAAATGAGGTATAGCTCCAACTCACAAAAGATTGAGGACCTGGTCCTAATCTTTCTAGTTAAACTTGCTTTGTAAAAATCCACTCCACCTTCAAGAAAGAGCTAAGTCCTAAATTACTTAAACTGCTGCTATTCACTTTTCAAGGCTAGCATTACTCTAATACCAAAATTTGTTAAAGACAATCACAAAAACCACCAGTAAAAATGGACCAATTTCACTAATTACAAATAAATTTTAATCCTAAATAAAAGGTTAATGAATTGAACTCAGCATGATATTAAAAAAATAATATAACATGACAAAGCAGGATTAGAAATGTAAAGATGGATTGAACATTAGGAAATCTCTTAGCATAATTCATTATTATTAATGAATCAGAGTAAAAAACAAATGTAGTTCTAGCACCTAAGAGACAGTTGATAAAATTTTACACCCTTTCCAAATTAAAAGCTTATAGTAAACTAGGAATAGAAGAAAATTTCTTTAAAGATGATAACGTATTTAAAGAATATCTAGCACCAACTAGGGGCACACGCTTACCTTACTGCATTAAATCTCAGTACCCATTATCTTGTCCTATATTCTTAAAATTTTCTGAGGTTTTGGCTAATGCAATAGGAAGAAGAAAAACTGCATTATTTGCAGGTGATATGATTGTCTATACAAAAAATTCAGAGAGATCAGCTGTCAAGCTATTAGAATTAATTATACATTTTCACAGTGTAGTAGGATACAAGGCAAATACACAAAAATCAATAGCTCTCCTAAATTACAGCAATAAAAAATATCTCATTCACAAAAACTATAAAATACATAGGAACAAACCACAAGAATTGTGAAAATCTGTGTGAAAAAAAATTTTTAAATGTATTTAAAGATATAAAAGACCTAAATACATGAAGAGATGTGTTCCTTAAGAGGAAAACTCATGATTTTGAAAATTTTGAGTGAGATTAGTAGTTTCTTTATGAAAGAGCGAATATATTATGAAGCCATAATAATCATAACAGTGTATCATGACATAGGAATAAGAAGACAGTAAATAGATTAGAATGTTCAGAAACAGATATATATGTCTATATATGCAAATTTAGTTTATGATTTATAGTGGCACTTCAAAGTTGTGGGAAAAGAATGGATTACTCAAAAAATGATATTGGGGCAACTGGTTGACCATTTGGCAAAAATTTTCATAATCTCATACTAAACAATTAATTAAAAGGAGGTAAATGGACAAATGTGAAAAAATGTACAGGAATGTTTATTGCAGAATGTTTTTGGAATGGTAAAGTAAAACCACTTAAATGTCTATCACAGTGGATTATTTCAAATGTGTGTTTGTATGTGTGTATTTGTGTGTGTGTGTCTGATATACAAGTTATAGGATGCTATGAATCTACTTTAAAATGATGGAATGGATTTATGTATATGGGAATGTAAGGATATCCACATCATACTTAAAGTGAAAAAATCAGATTCTAAATCTGTGTTTTTTTTAATCACATTTTGTTATTTAAAAAAAAAAAATGTAGAGGTATTGAAAAGTCCAGAAGGATGTATAACAAACTGTTTCATTTTCATTTCCTGTGGGTAGACCCTGCTTTGTCGCCTGGAAAATTATTCCACTCTCTTAGCTCTCTTTATACAGGTAACTTCAGTAGGAATTAAGTTACTTGTGTCAAGAGAGCTTTCTCATGGTCTTCACTTAAACTTCTTGGGGGAGCTACCCACTCTACTCTAGGTAAGCATGAGGAAAACCTTGTATTTGTCATACTACCTATAAGCCATATTGCACCTTTTAATTTTTCTAAATTATTTACTTTTTTCCTCTGTAGATTCTAAAATCCATGAGGACAGGAACCGCATATAGGTCAGTGTTCACTTTTGAGCAAATAACCGTGACTTATTGAACTCTTACTGTGTACCAAATACTGTGCTAAACGCTTTCACTAACCCACTACACCCTTAGATAAATACTATTATGATCTTCATTTTGAGGATGAGGACATTGAAAGTCAGATTATGAAGTTTGTCCCCAATGCCATTGGCCCAGCTGGGATTAATTCCCAGGCCTGTCTGACGCTCAGTCACTACACTGTGATCAATAAATATCGGTCCTATAGGAAGGAAATACAACCAGCCGCGGCTTGAGGGTCTCTTGGTGGGGACGTAGTAGCGGAGATTTAGCTTTGGAGGTGGTTGGACTAGACGCCCCCAAATTTCGCAATCCAGATATTCGGAAGCTCCGCCCACGACGATCGCCCGCGCGAGCCCGGAAGGGAGAGGCAGGGGCGGGGCGATCTTCCGGGAAAGGGGCGGAGACAACGCTGATTGGCCGGGTTCGGGCGGAAGTCGGGAGGTTGGGTGGCTTTAAGACGCTGGCCGTGACAGGGAAGGGGAGAAGGAAGGCCTCCCTAAAGGTTACCTCTCCGTCCCTTCGCTCCCGGAGACCCTCGGACAACACTTGACATCCAGGCCCCGCGACTAGCTACTTCCCTCAGGCCCTCGTCGCTCGATCTCGTCACCGTTATGTGGGAAGCGAATCCAGTGAGTAGCCGGGCGGGACGGGGCGTATCCAATGGGCGGGGTTGGCGGCGGAGGGGCGGGAGGGGGTTCCCGGGAACTGCTCCCCCGCTCCCGCTTCGGGCTCTGTGTTGCGTTCTGGGAGCTAAGATCTTTGCCTTTTTGAGCGGTGGAGATGGCTCGGTGGGTTTCCCAACGCTTTATTTCTTTCTTATTACAATTATTTATTTCACTTTCTGTGGTTTCTCCGACTTCCTCTTTTCACCGTTTTTTAAAAGTTTGTGTTTCGCTTTCTAATTGAAGTTACTGGCCGTCGAACCTGTTAGTTTTAATCTTTCTCAGGTGTACCTGTCAGACTCAAACATCTAAAGCAAGGGAATTCGACCCCCTTGTCTTGGATGGGCCTAAGGGGAACCGTCAGTACTCCTTTTCCCTTCTTGGTTTGGTGGACAGCCATTCGGAACTTGAAGGATGGATTGTATATTCTAATCCTCTAGGTAGTGAAGTTCTTAGATGTTTTCTTTCAGTGGACAGACTGATGGTGTTTCGACTGCAAGTCTGTCTCCTTCCTTGTTTGACTCCGGTATTTGGATTACATCTACACTTATTTTTGTCTGCTTTGCCTTGATAACATTTATTTATTTGAAGTGCACCTGTATGGGGGACAGTGTGATTTCTTTCCTCACCACCCATCGTAAGGGTCATGACCAACATTCCTTATAACCAAAAACAGGTCAACAAGAGAAAAGCATAATAAATTTATTTAATCAAAGTTTTATGTGATACCTTCAGAAATGAAGACCCAAAGACCCATGGAAAACTGTCTGTTTTTATGCTTAGGTTCAATGAAGAATGGACAGCCATGTGGAAATGTGATTGGACAAAGGGAATGAATGATCTAATGGGAATAGACTGAGGGGGGAAACCCAGCAAGGCCTGTCCAGATTCTTCTCGGCCTCCCTGTGTAACATTCCTTCCTCCTGGGTATAGGGCAGGACCCCTCTGGATTAAGGGTCTTATGACCTACTGTCAGACAAGGTAGGTCAGAAAATTTTTTTTCTTTTTATTTTTTTTGAGACAGGGTCTTGCTTTGTTGGCCGGGCTAGAGTACAGTGGTGTCATCATAGCTCACTGCAACCTCAAACTCCTAGGCTCCAGCGATCTTCCTGCCTCAGCCTCCCAAGTAGCTAGGACTATAGGTGTGCACCACCATGCCCGGCTAATTTTTTCTATTTTTTGTAGAGATGAGGTCTCGCTCTTGCTCAGGATGGTCTCGAACTCCTGGTCTCAAGCCATCCCAGGGAATTTCTTTATGGCCAGCTCCTAAACAGAAATGAAAGGGAAGTTTCCAGCAATATTTGTAGATTTTATGGCTTGCTTTGTAGGAGAGGGGTTCTAGTTTCTATGACCCACCTTGGGGAAGTGGAATTCTGGTTTCTATGACTGTCTTTAGGGGAGAAAGAGAAGCAGGAGACAGAAGGGCAGGAGAAGGTCAGAGAGAGACTTTGCTTCTGAGAATTTCCAGTCTCCTTTAGTTCAAGGTGCTCAGCATGCCAAAGTACCATACTTTGGGGTATTGTTTCCTGAGCCCCAATACAACTTTCAAAGAATGGAATCTATTTGCTGAGAGTATTTGTCTCGTTATGGTTGAAATTGCCTAGTAACGTGGCAGATGCACAGTATCTACAACTTAGGAGTTGACTAGAAAAGTGACAGAATCCCATTTCAACAAGTTGTTGGACAAAATACAACTGTATGCCACTTACGACGGGGTTACCTCCTGAGAGATTCATCGTTAGGTGATTTTGTCACTGCGGGAACATCATAGAGTGTACTTACATAAACCTACATGGTTTAGCCTACTATACATTTAGGCTATTTGGTATAGCCTATTGCTCCCAAGCTACAAACCTATACAGCATGTTACTGTACTGAATCTGTAGGCAATTGTAATACACTGGTAAGTATTTGTGTATCTAAACATATCTAAACAGAAAAGATACAGTAAAAATACAGTATCATAATCTTGTGGGACTATTGTCGTATATGTGGTCCATTGTTGACAGAAACGTCATTATGCATGCATGACTGTATGTGGAACTACCCCATATGCTGAGATAACTGCCCAAATTTACTTTAATAACCCTTAGTTTCCATACTTGCAATAACTCCTTTCCTATAATCAATACTCCTCCCTTCCCATGTCTGAAATATTTTCCAGATAAGCTAGAGAGTTTATCAGCAAATTTCCTTAAGTTTTAAAGTTTTTATCCAGTGGAAACTAGTCTGTTGGTCTGGATTTGGTAGTTGTACATTATGGTTCCTTTTACTCCATCATGTAACAGTAGTCATCAAAAATTCTTTGATTCACACACATGCTACTCTAATCAAACCACAGAGTAAAGAAATTGCTTGTATTTGTTTTTAGCAAAAATAATTTAGAATTATGAGAATGTACTCTGTTTATATATGCTTATATATTCAGTTTCCCTGTGTCAACAATCTGCATTTTGTATCTCTGTATATCTGTGTAACTCTCTATATAGATATATACTCAATTTTTATTAGCAGTCCTTTTTTTCTTGATTTTTTTATAACAAACTCTTTAGTCACCCAAGTTTGTCTTGCTCAAGGTCACATGTTTTAAATCTTTCACTATGTTCCAAGCTCTCATATGGGCATGGATTTTCTCCATGTTTACTATGGTATCTTCAGCTAGAGAACAGAGCCTGGCACATAGTAGGCACTTAATAAGTATTTGTTGAATTCATGAGCTTTGCTCCCATTGTGCATTCTCCTTCCTGTGTCACACTTATGTTGGAACTTGCTATTGGATTACTTACATGTTTGTGAGAATTATAAAGGCATTAATGAATGTCTCATACACTTGGTTTGTTATATCATTGTGTCATTTCTTTGTAAAATGGTCAGTTTTCTCTGGAATCACCTTATGGTTTTGCTTGATTTCAGCAGAGCAGGCTGACTTTTGTTAATGGTGGTGAACCTTTCACATAATGTCCCACATTCTTCTTTTTGCTCTTACGCCACCTAATATGCCTTACTGCTACTGTATTTTATTACTACTAATACTGCTTTTCTTCCTGCAAGATATGAACACTGTCAATAAGCACAGTTTAGGTTTAAAAATCAATACTTTGCATGTGAATTTCTCTAGTAATTTGTTAGTTTCTTTTAATAAAAGGGGCATCTGGGTGGTCTGTCCAGCTGTGCTCATGGAATAAAATTTAATTTTGATGTTACCCTAAGCCAAACACAATTGGGAAGATTTAAAAAATAAACAAAGCAAAACCACAATGCATCCTAAATATAATGCAGATGATTTTTGCATTGCCCCCAATTTAAATCACTGTTCATTATTTCTTTCCATTGACTGAGATAATCAAATCTATTTTGTGTATAAAAGATATTGTTAACTGCCTTAATTGAAGAATTCTGCCTAGTTTCTTCCTGCATATTTTTGGTAGCATCCATGCCCTTAATGTGCCACCTACGACCTGCAGATATACCTCCTATTGCTCCTATTGCAAATATATCTACTGTGTGGTACTGTGTTCCACTCACAAGTGTTTTGAGGAAAGTTACACTGACTCTGCTCGTGGTACTACTCAGAAGCAACGTCCCTTTCCATGGGAAAAGTCTCCATAAAGTAGTTTGAATGTGGAAAATCACCACACTTTGCAACATTTCCTTGGGAGAAAAACCCTAAACAAAGTAACCAAGGAGTGATAAATAAACTTTACCTCAGTTCACAATTTTATTTTTCCAGACAGACATGAGGCTTGTGATGATTCTATTCATGCCTTTCACTGACCAGGAACCTTGGGGTAAGCATAAGGTCCTTGCCGTGGCAGGCCAGATTGACAGAAACAGCAGGCAGTTCTTAAGTGAGCTCTTGGCATTTCTCCATCCACCTTAGGGGAAGTAGCCTGTAACTAATGTCCCCCAGTTTAGGAAAGTGGCAGAGTCTGTAGGAGGAAGTTGGAGGGGTTGTCATCACCACCTTGACTCTTTGTACCGTGACTTTATCCTTCTTTTCTTTGTCTCATTTTCACTGTTTTACTGCTCTTTGCTGGGATTGGAACAAGTAAACAATATCAGATGTGACAGTTTCAGCATCTCATGCTGATGAATGGAACTGAAAAGTGACAAACATCTCTATATAAAAAGTATAAACCGCCTACTGCAGTAATAACACCTTACTTTATAGAAAATGATGTTCTTCCAAAATTCTTTTCTATTTATTAACTCTTATTAGAATAATCTCATGAGTTAGCTAAAGGAGGGGAAATGATTTTCCCAAGATCAAACAGAGAGTGAGCAACTGCATTGTATTAGTACCCAAGTCCTTTTTCCACTCCATTCTGTCCTTTGGTGGTACAATGATAACATTTGTATATTAGCACAGTACTTTACCTGCGGAGCCATCCTTTCCCCTGTCATTTTATATTCACAGCTGCTTCTAAACTTCCTCATAGCTATGATTCTATCTCTCCTTTTTCTGTCAAGCGTCTTGAAAGAATAGTCTTATACTTTTTGTCATTCTTACTCATACCTCAGGTCCTGCAGCCCAGCTTCTGCCTCTGACACTTTACTTGCTGGGAGGGCACCAAGAACCTTTGGATCACCTCATACAGTGGAAACCTCTGTGCCTTCAGCCTGTTCTGTCTTTCTGCAGCTTCTTTGCCTTTAGAGGTTTTCCTCAAAACTCTTCCTTTTCAGTTTCCCTGGAACTGTACTCCTTTGGATTTCTTCTTTTTATGATTTGTCCTTGAATTATAATGCTAACTTAGCTGCACTGCCTTCTGCCCATGAAATGTTCTACCTTTAATCTTTTTTTTTCTCAGTACATCCTTTTTTTGATGAACTTCAGATATTACTCTGGTGACTATTCCTGCCAATGTACATCTTTAGTCCTGACCCCTCTCCTGAGCTAAGTGGTGGAGAACTCAGCTGGTTGTCCCTCTGTTGTTCAGACTTAGTATTAAACCATACTCATTCATTCA